CCGGCGGGACGCGCTGCTCCGGGTCCGCGCTGCCTGCGGAACCCGGGAAATGCTGGGAATGCCACCCAAATGCTGGGTGTCGGAGTTCAGGGCACGGTCTGTCCATCTTGCTTTGTGGCTTACGTTCGTTTTCAGTCTTTTAATTGACCTTGTCGCTAGGAGCAGGTTAAGAGAGCGCTCTGCCAGTGCTGAAATTCTACTGACTGACAGTGATAGCACTCAGCGTCTGATTTCTTTAGGTCTTTTATCAGTGAGAAATACCAGAGCAGCTCCTTTTGTGTATTCTCAGTGGTAAGGTAGGCTCATATCTGGAGTTATTGTCATTATAATCTTGTTCTAAAATGTCCGAGTTTCTGGTCAGAATCTGCTCCTTCATCTTTTCTAAGTAATCTGTAGCTCATGAATCATGTAGCTCATGACCACCAAGGCTGCTATTGTAGGAGTGAAACCTTCTTTCTTGTATAAATCCTTGGAAGTTCAGAGTGTTATCCAGAAGATGTACTCATAGTAACAGACAAATAATTTTAGTGTTTTGGACTGGAGAGGGCCCTTCCTCTTTTTGTAAAACTTTCCTAGTCAGTTTTCTATCTTGTTTCCCATTGATCGTTTGTTCATGGAACAGTAGGAAAAAGAGCACAGGCATCCTTATTACACTAGCTAAGGATTTCGATTTATTGGCTGTACTGCACAGGAAGGTTGATGATATAATCCTTATATGTTGGCAACTCCTAGCTCATAGGCCTGACCGACTTACAAAAGTAAGCCAGACTTATAAGAATCATGTTCAGGGAAGACAGAGCTCAGTAAAAAAAAAAAAAGTCCACAGCTGTGGACAGCAGAGTTCATTTTAATTCCATACAGTTTTGTGTCAATGTTTTGTACTATAAGCTTATACTTAGGAAAGACATTTGATTGGAATAAGTAAAATACTTAAGTGGAATCTGACCTGCTTCCTTGCCTTGAGTGACTTTTAAAAACAGTGGAGACTTTTATGTATAGAATTGATAATTACAAAACCCAGCAGTATGATATAGTACTCCAAATTAATACCTACATCAAGTAAGTCCATTACAGACTTAATTTCCTTTCTACTAGACGAAGGATGAGAACTGTGTGAGATTTGGCATTTCAAATGTAGGAAAGCATTTCAAGTCTTGGTGACTTTCTGCTTAAATCCTTCCATTATGGTATTTTTCCTTTAAAACTTCTAAAAATTTATTTGGCTGTAGTTGGTAACCACCAAAATATCAGACAGAATAGCACGGCATCTCACCAGTGGCCTGCCACTACTGTAAATTCAGCTGTGTCATCATGTTTTCATTGGTCAGTATGTGGGTTTTCCATTCTGTGTAGGGTAGTCAGTATTGGATGAGTTCTTTTGGCTATCTGTGAGCATAAACTATGTTTAGTGTACAGTTGTCCAGGATACGCTTTCTCACCGCTTTTGCTCCAGATGCAATTTATATGCTGAAATAAGACATCTGCATCTGTACAGCAGTAGTACAGCATCAAGTAGCCACCAGTTGCTGTGGCAGCTTGGTGGGTATAGCTGTGAGTGCATGGGAATGGAAAATGATGATTCTGTTATTTTGTTTAGTTTCTATAATAAAAATGCAATATGTATTAATCAAAAAATGTTTTTCTTCTGGCTAGCTCTGCACACTCAGTATGTGATCTGATCCATCTGGTTGTCACACTATCATCAGTAGTGTCAGAATTGGTTAACAGATCTCTTGTGGTGAGCAAATCTGCAAAGCATGTAGTGATGTGGAAGAATAAGCATGATTTGGGAAGGACTAAAAGATCATTAGTGACAGTTGAATGAGAGACATTCAAATAAGGGACAAATACAGGAGCAGATGCATTTTGTGTTGAATTTTAGCCATGTCACGTTAAGCACTGTATGATGAAGTCAATGAAGATTAGCCTGTGGATGTGTTTTTCTTTTTTGGAATCTTGGACTGTCATTGGGGGCAGGAAATGAGGGTTTATCCTGAAGGAGGTGACAGTGTTACAAGGGTGTAAGTGTGTTAAGAGGAGGCTGTTTTATTGTCATTTATCACCACTAGGCTAAAGTCATCACCATTCACAGTGAATACTTCATGCAGGCTTTATGATACTGCAAGATCTGTTTTACCCCACTATTTGGCAAGAAAGATTGTCAGATGGGACTACTACTTTAATTTGTATTGTTCTGGAGTGAAAATTGGTTCTTCCTCCAATGGGTAAGTGTCAGGTTGGGTAATGTGGACCTTCAGGTGAGGTACAGGCTGCATAGCTGCAAAATGTTTACATCTTGTTTTTCCTCTTTCC